ATGTAGGGATGTATGTTTTAGGGATGCTGTGTTAATGATTTAAAAGTATTCAAAGAAAACAGTGGGACTCCTGATTTCTCCTAAGAGTTAAAGCTTGGCCTACCTCTAATTTTGCTTCAAAATGGAATTAGAAACAACGAAATGGTTTAGGTGGACTATCAGAAGTTACTGAGAAATTTTTAAATTATTAGTACTTTTTAAAGCAAGTAATAAAGGGTTATTCTCCTTTTCACAAAGAAATTGAATGTCTGCTCTTAATGGCAGTATTTTATATATAGTGAATGAAACAGTTCCTGCTAGGACAGCTGTAAAAAACTGGTAAAATTTGACCTTTGATTTTGGGTAAATGTTACGTATTTGAATAAAAGGTTGCATTTATAGGCAGCCACAGATTTTTTTTTTTATTATTTTAATGAAATCTTTAGAAGAGCTCAAGGGATAATCCAGGGAAATTTTTCAAATAGGCAACACTAATTTTGAACAAATTTTAAACACTCAGACAAGGTTTTTCCTCTAACGTAGGATCCATCACCCTCCTAACTCGGTGTAAATTCAATCTGTTCTATTTGTATGACATAAACAACAAGCCATTTCACAGGAATGAGGCAAACCATATGTGAAGGTGTTTTAGAAAGCACAACAGGGAATACACCAAGCAAAGAAGCATCTGCATTTATTTCAATGTCAAATCACATGTGTATTATAAAGGGAAAGTTTATTGTCTCTATATAGAAAACAATTTTACTATATTGTGCACTTTACGTTTAATGCTTCCTGCCCCTCAGTGTCCTCCTCAATTTGGAGAAAAAAAAAAAACCAGCAGGTAAACATCATAGAGACTACAGGTGTAGAGGCAGGGCTGTAAAGAGGTCTTCAGCCTTGTCCACCCTACCCAGGCTGCCATATGCCGACAAGAGCCTATTTCGTCTTCACCCTCTGCTTGTTACCTCTGCAACTGAGCTACTATAGGCAACACACAGCAATGCTGTGTGGGGCACTGGGTATTCCCTCAAAAAAGGCAGTGCCCTACCATAAACTAGTTTTATAGAAGCTGGTCAGAGTCAGCTTAACACATTTGGAGTTCAGGAGAAAATATTTCAAAGCAGCATTTAGCCTAGGTATGAGCTACAGGCACGTTGTTAAAAAGCTAATTGCACAGAGACAAAGGATGATCGTGACTTTTATAATAGTGTGAAATATTAACCCTTAAGAGCTGTGTTTGATGATAAGTATTTGACGACTGAACCTGCTAGTTCATTATTTATATATAAACTCAAGCCTGTGGATTCCTGAAGTCACAGAAAGTGTTTATGTCTTTATGTTTTTTTGTATTAAGATAGAGAAAGGTTTTTGAAATCTGGGATTTTTTTCCCCTCTCCTCTAAAACTAAGCATAAAAAGCACTGTTAAAGTGCTGAAGTGTTGAAATTATTTCTCAGATCTGTATTTTTATGCATCTTCAGGAAATCTGGCTTTATAGTGACAAATAGCCTTGAAGAACATTTTTTCCTCAAAGTTTGCTTGTTTCAGGGAACAGAAGAACAGAACTAGAGAGCTTCTGACAGTAGGTTTTGAGCTGCAAGGGTCAAAATTCCTTCAAATATTCTCCTTCTCTCTCAAGGTTACAGATCTCACCTGTCTTATTTAGACAATAGCCACTAAAAACATTCATATTCTGCTGCAGATTACACAAGCTGTTAGTTCCAGGAACACAAAAATCAGAGAAGAGAGGTTCAGGGATGTCGGGTTGCAAGGCAAGGTCCGGAAGCCAGCTCTCCAGGAAGGTCTGCAAAGCACTCGGTGAGCATTTAGCATCTACCAGGCTGTGACTGCCCCTGACCACCTAAACAGCATGGATCTCCCTGAGTCTTTTGGACTCAACCCCCTCATCTCCAGCTGACCAGACCTAAGCAAAAGCCTGATGCTTTTAACAAGGCTGTATGGGGGCACAGTGGGAAAGTCACTCTTGTAGGCTGCAAGACGCAACCTGAAGGCTGTGGGCTTCTGCAGCCAAAAAGCTCTTTTTATTACATATGTGTATAATGCCCACTGTAAGGAGGTTTGACTGTGGCCTACGGATGTGAGACACCACTGTAAAATTAATATGAATGAAAAAGGACAAGCATGCTATAGCAACAGAAACAAAAAAGCACCATAATTATCAGAAAAATATTTGTGATCACAAAAGAATATCTTGCTCATACTCGCCAGTCTCCCCTTTGGCAAGCCCTACAAGAAAAGAGAATATGAGAGAAAGGAAAGAGAGAAAAAAATTACAGGGAGAGGCAGGGAGAGAATGGGGGGGAAAGAGAGAGACTGAGATAGAGTGGATACTTTTAACTTGTCACAGTACAACACTAGCTTTTAATTAATACAGAGTATGTACAACTTTAAAGACTGTTGGTTGTGCAGTATTTTATGATAAATACATTTTATGGGATTTTGTTTTTAAAGAGGATTTTGTAAAATAACCTAGCCCAATAAATGATTTACCAGCTGCAATAAAAGATCAAGGAAATTGCTCAGATTGCATCTTGGAGCATCTAAAACTCTGAAGTTTATGGAGATCTAAGCTGCCCCCAGATCTACAGTGCTATTAAAAATTTTTGTAGTAGCTAATTATCTTCCATTGCATTTTTTAAAAGGTAGCAATCATAGAAGAAAGGAAGGTCTGGAAACAGACAAAGAGGAGTTGATGCCCTTTGATGGAGAAGTAGGAGAGAAAGAAAGGAGGAGACAGACAGCAGTGAGTAACAATTGAAACATCATGTTGGTACGGTAACAAATGGAACTAACAACTCATAAGGTGTCAGATTCTCCTTAAATCACTCAGGGAAACTGAATTAACTCTAAGTTTGAAAAATATATTTTAGGGACACATACTATATGTAATATCTATATTATTTGACCAAGAGAGGAGTAATTTTTTTGCTATTTTTTTTTCTCTCTGATAAAGATGATGACCACAAGTGAAGCAGAAAGTGAAGAAATTCCCTCTAAGTTCTGCTTTGTTCTAAACTTATGGGACTTTAACATAATACATAAGTAAATAAAGCAAGAACCTGTCCTTATTTCAAACAGGATGATGGATACAGTAAATAGAATGGCACAGTGAAATAACAAAATACTAGCCTAAGGTAGGAGAGGCAGCCCAGTCACCCTGATGCATTGCTTGTAGCCTTTGTTTTGTAACAGGAAGATACGGTTTGTGCCCTGTAACTTACTGTGCTCAGACATACCTACACCTCCCCAGGGAACCCGAGCAAAGTCAGTGTCCCTGCAGGCACAGGGGTCCAAGGAGAGATGGGCTTCCTAACAAAGGACAAAGAAAAGAAATAGAAAAGAAAATGGAAGAAAGGACAGCCATTTTTTCTTAGTCCCCACATCAGACGGTGAGGTGCACACCAACTTAGACAAATACCTGTTCCCTCTGCTCCTCTGGATACCTTGTGCAGTCACAAAGGACACGGACTTCAAAGCCTGGGGCCAGGCTGCTGCAGGAAAAGCTACTAGAAACCAGCACATGCTCCAGGAGTGCTCCAGTGCTGAAGGAAGTAGAGACTTGGGGCCCTTTCTCAACACTTTCAAGCTGAACAACTTTGAAAAGAATAAAGTATCAATGCTGCTAACTTCAAATGTACACAGAATCACAGTATGGTTGGGGTTAGGAGGGATTTTAAAAGCCATCTACTTCCATGGTCATGAGCAAGGACACCTTCCACCAGACCAGGTTGTCCACGGCCCCATCCAACCTGGCCTTGAACACTTCCAGGAATAGGGCATATACAATTAAATGTTACAATTAAATGTTAGAATGAGAGAAAGTGAAGTTCCCTGGTACTGAAAGCGAGCACCTTGAGAGAGATAATTGATGATAATTTGGTTAATTTTATTTGAAAATTAAGGTAGGTAAAATGAAGCACTGGGAGCTGGCAAGGATATTTGGATGGGCAATGCTACCCTAAAATCTATTCTTCTATTATGGCAAGGATGGGGGAGTCCTCAGTTGTCAAAAATAACCATAATCAATTCAGCAGAATTATGACAGCCTAATTGTATGAGTGTATGTTATTTTTCGAGCTGACTGCTGTCACCTCCATTACTCAGGGCTAACCACCTCTAGGGTTGAGTTCAGATTTCTATAGTGAAAATGCACTTTGTGTCTGTAAGGTCTTTACCAAACTGTCTGCCAACTTTTAAGGCACCAAATGAGTGTGGCAAATGAGAGCGGGGAACAACAGGACAAGTGATATTGAAGGCTGCTTGGCTTGCCCATGAGATAAACCTGCCTCATGTTTTGATAGGGAAGTAATTTAAAACTAAATTTTCACAGATGTGCACTCTATTGTGATGTTAGTTTACTGACTGCTGTATTTGAAATCCTAGGGGCTGATTTGCAGAAGACCATAGGTGCCAGAGATGTTTTGAGGGCTGGGTTTTGAATATTCAAAGCACAATATGGAGCTATGTGAAAGCCTATGAGATCATTTCATTTAGTGAAATGATCTTCATTGTTTTCTACTAATTACAAATAACTGTCTAGCTTTTGCAATTATTTAGAATATGAAATTCCAGGAAATAAAAGTAACTGAAAAAACTTTGTTTTGATGAAGTCTTTTTCGTTTCACTTTATCTTTTCATTTTAAGACACTTCCCATATTTTATAAAAGAGAAAACTAATAGTCAAAGTAACATCCAAGAAAGATTGCATATTACTCTTAAAATGTTGAAAAGATTATGCTAGAAATCCTTTTGTATTTATTCCCCTCACACGGCTTCTCAAAGCAATGCAGCAATGCCAAAATTGCATTCTCAGACAAAAAGTGCTTCCAATTTTTTTTATCAAGGTCAATCATAAGTTAAGGAGTTAAAAAAAAATCCATGTGTTTTGGGTTTTTTTGCAGTCTAATAACATTCATTTAAATGTAGGTACCTTTTGAATACAGGAATAGCAAGACATACTTTTGGGTTGTAAAACTATTTGATACTGAGATCACTTACCACACAGAAAAAGTATACTTCTCTAACTCTTCCAAGTAAAAATTGCTCTCTACAGATGTTTTCTCTTCTTCTTGGTTTCCATTGTTCTCAGGATCTGATCTTTCTTCATGATGTTGGTCAGGTGGGTTATTCCAGTTGATCTTTAAATGAAAATAAAAAACAAGTTAGAATAGTAAGGCAATTAGCACATCCGTTCCTCCCAGGACAGGCCTTCCAGCACTGTCACCAGCTTTGTTGACATCCTCAGGACACCTTCAAGGACCTTCACAACCTTCTTAACTGGTAGGACCCAGAGTTGCACACAGAGTATTGTTCCCTGAATGGATTTATGTTCCTATAAGGCTCTGGTTTGACGAACCCTCTCAAGGAGGTGTAAGCTCATGCTGACACCAGCAGTCATCCAGTCTCCCTCTACCTGCTTGCTTTTTCCTGTGTTGCATACCACACACTGTCAGCACAAAAATTTAGATATCCCCATAGTAAGCCACACAGAGGGAACTAATCTGGGAATGGAATTAATGCTGTTTGCCTTAATTCTTTTTCTTTTATTTAACTGGATTAGTTCTCAGTTGGACCCATTCTGACCCAGGCCACCCTGCGCTGGTGCCTGCACAAAGCAGGAGAGGGACAGTACTATATCTTTCAGTGCTCATACCAGTTTATTCTCATTTAAACTACTCGTTGAGCTACAAAGGAGAGAATCCTGATCTCTGCTCATCTCTGGAACAACATTTTTGCATGCACAGGGTCTGATTGCTGGCATTGCTTCTCTGAAGTGACCATTAGATGCCCTGGACGCTTGGTGTTATCACCCCTGGACAGAGAGACAAACATCATTTCCACCAAGAGACACAAAGAGGTCCTAACTTATCAGACAGACATCTGCAGGAGATTTCAATGATACTATCTACTAATACCTTCCCAGGCACAATACCAAGCTCTGTAAAGGGTTTGCTAACATTTAGTGAACAAGCCCAGAGAAAACAAAGGGGTGGAAATTAAAATATGTTATGTTCAAACTAGTAACAGAACTCCCTTTTTGGTCTTCCTGTTAGACAGGGAGATGGAAAGTATACTATTTAGAGGTAACCTCAAAGACAAATTTTGATTCTACATCCCTTGATGCCAACTTTACAGAGCAAGTGGTTGAAATTCTCTAGTCAATACTAGAAGATAACCTAGATGATTTAAGTTCCTATTTGACTTTCATATTTATGAAGTTTACTCTGTAGTAACATGAAGTTTACTCTGTAGATCCCAAAAAAACTCAGAGTTCCCAGGGAGCAAAGCACTGACATAAGATGTAGTCACACACTTTACACTTTGCTAATCATGAAAACAACAAAGTTTTTTTTCTTTTTAAACTCTGTAAACCATTTTGCTCTCAAAGGTAAATTTGTATTCTGAAGCTTGGATTACATTGACCTCATCCACATTTTGAATTTCACAGACATAAGAGACAGAAGTTCATATTCATACCTACAAAATGCATATACCTACATACTCTTATCAGTAAATATGATATAATCAACTTATTCTCAGTGGTCATTGGAAAAGCTGCCACAAGCAATGGAATATATTGTCAGAAAGAGGTTCTATGTAAACATGAATAGTTAAGGCAGAGTAGAAGTGCTTAAACTTGTTTTCAAATACTAAGACCAGGCAGACACAGATTTTACCCAGACACAAAATGGTCAACTTAATTTCCTAGAAGAAGTCAAGGTTTCAGAGTAGGTAGTGTGTGCAGGCTACCTTGCTTGCTGACATTGCCTCCATGAAACTATCCCTGTGCAAAGTAGATATAAAGACATTATTTAAGACATAAATCCCAAAGGCATTAAAGAGTATTAAGAGCTAATTTCTCTGACTGTGTTTGGTCTTGACTAACATACAAAAACAGAAATTCAGTCTTCTGCATGAGGATGGGATTATAATCAGAGAATATATTTTATTTCTCTCAGAAGTCACTGACTGTGAGCATTCTCTCCTTTATTGCTACCATTCAATATCTTGGATCCATTCAATAGTGTGTACACTCGTTACAACAAAAACTAAGTGCTAATGCCAGTGAGAGACTATTTGCAACTTCTTAGCATAGATGAATTTGGGGGTAAAAAGTTGAGGTCAGACTTAAAGATCTTTTAGTTTGTTTTTGTTATTAAAAAAATAAATTTTAAAAATATGTTTACAAGAAGAAAACGGACTGCTGAGGAGAATAAAACACTACAGAAATGTCTGTCTTCTTCCTTAAGTCTGCTCTTTACATTAGTTTGTCATTGTTTCCTAAATATGACTGTTACATAAAAATATTTTACAGGAGGGTATCCAGAGATACAAGTAGGTCCAAATGATAGAAATCAGGCCAAATGCCTAGATCTTGAACATGCTAAACAGGCTCTCTCCGAACATTAGGGTTCATTCATACCATTAAAAAGGAGGGGCTCTTACAACCTTTGAAAGGATATTTCCCATACTCACATTTCTTTTGTGCAGAAGCATTCTTGTAAGAGGCTCAGTTCAGAAATCTATACAAACATGCCAATAACTGTAAGCTAGTCAGTCATTTCACTGAGTCCAGAGGGACTAGACAGTGCTGAATTCCCTGTGGGTTTACACACCTCACTGAAACCAGGTCACTTTAATTTGCCTTCGAGAGCCACCCACAACTGAAGTTCCTATGAGAACGTGGCACTTTGTTCAAAGATATCATGTTTTTTATGCAATTGTAGGAAATGAATTTCACTCTGCCACTCCCATGGGTTGGGTTACTTTGCCCACTACATCGATTCCAAAAGTCCTCAAATCATCCTTCTTATAGATATAAGGCCACACACACACATGCATGCACACATCAGTCTGCAGTTATGTTTATATATAACTCTGTTTTTTCCAAGTTATCCTTAACTTCCTGAAAAAATAAATCACTTAATAATTTATCCATTTAAAATGGAGGGAACTTCCAGTTGGCCAATCTGTTTTTTCTCAGAGAAGTAGATCATCACATTACAAAAGTTGCAATAATAATTCCCAGCCACTGAGTGTTTGTGCCACAACACATGTACAGGTATAAACACATAGTACACAAGTTTGTGAGCACTCCGAGTACTGTGATGATTTTCTTCCATGCACAATTAAAAGCATTAAAAATGTTTCAGAGTATATCTAGAGCAGGGTAAGACAAATTACCAGAATGATTAATTTGAATATTCAGGTTTGCAGTTATAGTTCTCTGCAACCATGCTGATTTAAGGACAGAAGTGGAGCAACACTTACAGAGAAAAATTGCAACCTTCATTGGAAAGTACCTGATTTAATAATATAATGCAGGTAGAAGCAATACTCAGGAATACAGAGTTTTCTTTGTGTCTTAGTCATCAGGATTTACAGTAAATCTGAAAGTTTCAGTAGCATTTCACCCAGAAAGTGTTGTCATGATGCAGATATGATTTTATGGAAACTTGTACTGACAACACAATATTTGTTCACAAATTAATTATGTCCTTGACCAAGATACTACAAATATTATACTAAAAGTATCTAATGGTAGGGATCTTCTGCACAAGTACATGAGAGCTTGAAGGTTATAGATGCATCTCTTGTTTAAACATTACTGAAATAATACCATCCTGCAGCACAGACTTGATTAAGCTGCTGGTATTTGATTACCACTAGGATGGTCTTTCCCTACTACTCCTTTGAAGTTTCTTTGCTGGAGAGATTAGCTCCTTATAGATACACGGAGGAGACAGCAATACACCTGGCCGTGTGAAGCTTTTTTGTGGCCATAAAAAAATTCACAGGGGTAGATTAAAGAAACACAACAACAACAACAACAAGCAAGCCCACAAATCATTCTCAAATGGCACAGGTAGAAGATCCAAAGGCTTCTCTGCATGCATTAAGGGAGACAATGGTGTCCATATCAAGATCTGTACCTTGTGATGTCCTCCTTGGACTTCCTTTGGCCAAAACAAGTCACAGTGCTCATCTGCACTGCCATGGTAATCTTGGTAATCCTCTGCAAGAAAAGAAAAAAAAAACAAACCACAAAACATAAATTATTTTTTGTATTGGTGCGTAAGATAAAGCTCTGGAAAGGAAGGAGCTGGGTTTTGGTCCTCCTCCCGACAAGATTCTGTCTGACTTCATGCAGATCATTTTTCTTTCTCCATCCTAGTTATAAATAGGTGGTTATTTCTCTACTACCTTCCTGAAATGTTAGTATGATAAATGCAGAGAAGACTTCGGATACTGTGTTCCTGGAAATAAAAATTGTATAGATACAAAACAGGGGAAAAAGTAGAAATAAAGAAATAATAGACACAAGAAGAATGACATGGAAGGGTATTTTAAACACCCCAGAAAATGTTCTTCAGAAGAGAGAAAGAAGTTAATTTTCTTGTATGGACATGGTTGTGGATCAAGAACAAGACAGAGGCATAAAAAGCATTCGAATAAACATTGCTTAGAAAACACAAGTCATGTGTTCATTAAGCTCCTGAAAAGCAGTGACCTGTGGAATGAACAAAAATGTAATTCCACATTTCAGGAAGTAGTGGTGTGGTAGAAATAAAGGTCTGTATTAGACACTTTTTACTGTATTGCATATGGAGGCTAATCAAAAAATATACTTAGTTATTATTTCCTTTTTTTTTTTTAAGTTATTTCCAATCCCACTCAGTAAAAGACAATCAAGTGTATCTAAAATCACAGTACAGGCAGGATCAGCTCTTAGGTGTTACAATTGTTGATATAGGCATATACAATATACACATATAAAATGTCACAGTTGGATATCTTTCTTAGTTTCTACATATATGTATACATACGTGTAGGTGTATGTTTTATATGTTGAACATTCGTAGTAAACGAGGCATTTGCAGGTATTTACACCACCTGGGGTGAAAGAGGAGGTCTACTGAAATCACTGAAACAGCATAAAATACAACTGCTGGAAATGTCACATGTACGCACACATGCCGTATAATCAGTTCAAATTGTCTCTACATATTCCATATATGTGATACATGTATGAACCCATAAACACATATTAAAATATAAATATACCTTTGTAAAGATGGTTACTGTGGTTTTCTTTGTTCAACATTTTTTTTTTCCCTTTGGCACACAGAACTGGGTTTCCAAACAGCCCTGATGAAATAATGAATACTTTAACAATGTTTTTGGAAGCAAATGAATAAAGCAGTAATTATCTTGGCCAAAAAAATGGGACACTAAAAAGAATAAAGAAAACAATAATATTCTACATTTAAGAAATGGGTGGGAGAAGAAACGCAAGTCTGTTATTTGATCATGACATGCTCTTTTTATATTTTATTTGTAAGGCTCTCAATGCTCTTTTCTTTCTATACCAGTGAGCTCATTATTTTAATTCCTCATAGATTTTTCTGAACAATTTTTGCTAAGTAAAAACACAATGTAATTCTTCAATGCCTGTAACAGTAAGAAGCTGCTCAAATTAAAGATCAATAAAAAGTACAGAAAAAATCTGTATGAAAATAAATAAATAAAAGAGAAGATGGGAAATGCTTGCAATTAGGATGAAAAATCTAAAAAGAAATTAAATTTAGTTGTAATACATTTCCCATTCTTTTCTTCATGAAAATTACTACTGAAGTGGGTTTTTTTCTGTAATTTAAATATTAAGCTGCCAGATGTGTGTCTCATGCTTGAAGAGTTGAAGCTTTGCATTATTTAGCATATTAAGATTCACAGAATTTAAAAAAGGGCTCCTTTATTGCCTGGAGGTTCTAATTAAGTAAACCTTAGCCTGGTACATTTAAAACTTGCAATACAAGAGATTTTGCTTCTTTTTTTTTTCTCTGTAGCCAAGTCTCATCAATATAATAAATATGGAAAATGCTTAAGATGATATAATTTTTCTTTGGCTTGAGGAATTAAACCTATCTATTATTTTAAGAAGTTTTTAATAGAGGCCAGCAATCAGAAGGACATTTAAAGACTCCAGTCTACTTTTTAATCATAAGATTACTCTTAGTTGGGAGGGGGAAATGTGTCATAAAACTGAGCCATGTAGAAATTGTTTCTTCCACATACACAAAAGAAAGCAGTTTTGAGAGAGAAACAAGAATCACACAGTTCTTTATTATTAAATTGCATTTTACTTTTTTATAACTTTTTATAATTGACCACAGAAAACTAATAAAGCATTAAATAGCTGGTTAATCAGCAATTTGTTCATTGAAAAAGTAGAGACTACTGCATCAGAAACTGTAATAGCATAGAAATTCCTGACATACAATACTCATAAATCATACCTTAAATACAGTTATTTTTGCCATTTTAGAAAATGTCAAAGGTGTCAACTTTGTCCAGATATAACACTTAGCAGTGACTATTTTAGTAAATTGACTCAAAATACATTTTGTTCCCTAACGGGGGAACATAATAACATTCATGATAAAAATGAACAATTTGAAGAGGAGAAAATAACACCAAGAAAGAATGATCAAAGACAGGTATCATAGCTATGATAAAGGTACAGTGGCAGGTGTAGACCTCTGTTAATAGGTTTCTTTGGAAGTCAAGAAACATACGCACAAAATATGATTGCACCAGGGCCTGGAAACAACAATAATATTCTTAATCCAAAGATCTATATCTGTATCAGGTAAGTCCAGCAGAATAGTTCAAATGTCTTTCATTTTTATAAGAGAAATAGGAAAAAATGGGTGGCATTTTTTGTCACCACTGTGGAATGGGCATGGATTTGTAAAAGCATGGTGAGATGAAATTTATTTCCAGACCTTGACAATAATGAGAGAAGTCATTTCTGGGTGATATTAAGTCCCAATCAAATAGTTTAGATGTCACACAGATCATACCTAATATGGGATACAAAGAAAGGGTTAACTGCATTAAGTCCCTGAGTTCAGCGGGGCCTGGTTTTTAAAACAGAATAAGATGATGTTGGAATAGAAAAATGTTGGTGCTACTCTGTTACCTTTCTCAACATCAGCCTTCTCTGGGCAATAGCTGAGCATAGTAGCATGACCTTTAAAATTATAGGGTGTCTTACTGCTTCTTAACCCTTGTAGAATAAAACAAAACCTTTTTTTATCCTCTGCATTCAGTCTGGAAGTTATCATCTTTGGCTATGTCTTCTGTAACAAGTACTGTGGCGCAACAAGTACAGGCACAACTTGTAGAATGAAATCAACAGTTCGGAGGACACCCCTTAGCAGTGGGGACCCTGCTGTGTGTTGCAGACTTCACATCAGGCTAGTTTTAGTTTGGTCCTGGGAACTGATGGCTCTGATACACACACCAAAAGCACATATGGTTTATCAGCTTCACCCTAAAGGTGGCCAGTGCTTGTCCTCTGAGATCTCTCCGCAGTGAACAAGAGACTGACAATTGGGGCAGGGCATTCACTTCAAAAGTGCCCTAAATACCTAAACGTTAATGTAAACACATCCTTTCTGAATGAGCATTAAAGAGGGGTAGGAAACAGATTCCCTATGATGTAAAAACTAGGGCTGATACTGTGAAATTTTTATATATTGGGAAGTGGGGGGAGAGAAGGGGAGGAGAGAGTCTAAAAGATTATTTTTTTTTTTAAATATGGACAAAAAGAAATAACACAGCTAGGAAATTACAGTAATTTGATGAAAACTACTTCTGACTTATATGGAGGCAAAGTAGAGAAGGGAAGTCACTCCTGATGCATGCAACCTCTCTTTAAATCAGTGGGAAAGGGTTTTAGAGTAGTGTGATCCAGGAGCGGGGCAGCAGACAAAGAAATCATCAGCTTGGTTAAGTTACTGCAGGGACAGAAAATAATATGAAGAACCTATCTGGACTTCCTCCCTAGTAATAGCCCAGCCTGTGAGAAATAAAATAGTATGGTAAGAGTTGGAAAATAGAAGAGTTTGGATTGTGTGGATGACACAACTGTAAGTGGGAACTGGATTCGATCCCACTTGAAAGAATCAATCCAATCCTTTATGCAGTCCTGCTCAGAGACAGAAAAGACAAGCAGAGAAAGAGAAGGTTCAACCGTCTGAGGCTCTGCCTCTGAGGCTCTATTTGTAATAAAAATGAGGGGTAAGCAATCTTCATTTTTAAAACATCACTTTGTTCCCTTTAAAGTGGCACCCATGAAGTATTACCAGTGAGAACAACTTCAAGTTTTTTGGTTTAAGTAACTATTTTTGCATCTGCATATGACTGTTAGGTAGAAGCATGCAGCATCTCAGAAGGAAAGAACCTCATTGCAGTATAATGAGAAGTATTACAATGAAGATTCATTGGTTTGCATGAAATTGTTTCAGAAGTGGCTATAAGCATAAATATAACACTCTCAACAAAACTATTGGTCACTTATATAAGTACATTATAACGCTTTACATTAATGTAAAGCCTTCTCTCCAAATGTAATGATAAAATTAGAATGGAACTGTGTCTGTGTTTGGTATTTTGATCTGGAGGTGACACCTTAATAAGCTTTGAATAAAGTTCTGAGTACTATCTGCTAGAGTACTAAGCCTCTTGGTTAGCCTGATGCCATCTTTGCTTAGATGTTATTCTGAAGTTTTGTCCAGACAGAAATGCCTTTTGATGTCACAAAAGGACATAATTAACTTCCCAACGTTTTTCCACAGATGCAGAAAGGGTGTTGAATTAGAGATCTTGAATATGAACAATATTTAACATCTGTTTTCAATAGAAAGTTTATTGTAGAAGACAGACATTGAGCAAAAGAATCCTTCTGAGCTAGAAGATCTGAAAATCAGGAGCTAAAACTTTGTCCTGGGTATGCCCTAGAAAGGTGATAAATCAGAGGGTTGAAGGAATCACAGAGGGTTGAAGTAATCACAGAAGTGTTGTCAAGCCCCCAAAATGAGAAGAATACTAGCTGACTAACAATATTTATGAGAAATATTTCATGTGTTTCCAGAGGGTTTACTTGTGGTACATGCACAAATGGAGGCTTTGAAAAAAGAAATTAGACTTCATATGAGAGAAGGGCCAGGGAGCAGCTGCTGGGATGAGCATTGGTGGGGACAAAAATGCAGGCACTGTTGAAGCACCAAATTAAATATCAGGTACAGTATAAATCCTAGTTTACATGTCATTCGGCAGAAATTATCTGGGGTTTTCAAATGAAAGGTTTTTTTCCTTCCTAGTTCTGAGTGAAGATAATAAGTTCAGTGGTTACATTACTGACAGTGTTCCATCACAGAAAATCTGTGCTTTAGTGATGTGCCTTTTGAAACAAGTTTTTCATTAAATTAACAGGCAACAGATTTATCAAGTACCAGAATTTGTTTTTTTTTTTTAAATCCTCCATCAATTATAGTATTATCTCTTAGGATATACTGAGTCAGATCCTCTGATGATACAAAATAATGCCTTTTGAATCCAACCCTCCATTGACAAAAGTTGTGACGATTCAGTACCTTTCTGTGATGGTTTCACTCTAGGCCTTCCTGGAGACCAGCTTGTAACCAGGAAGGAACTAGGAAGGTGATAACGGAAGTATTCCATGTTATTCCTTTACGTAACTTGAGGTATAAATAAAGCCAGCAGGAGGGACCTCACGCTCTTCCTTCCCGGCGAGGTTTGAGAACGGTGGGTCCCTGTCTCGGTCTGGCTTATCTGGAGCTGAGGCCAGCAGTGACTGCTGTTATCTGCCATGTGTGAGGGGAGAGTGCTGGACCGTGTCCAGCCATCCTGCTTGTTCAAAGGGAAGTGGTGAGATTTTACTAATTTACCTTCAGTTGGTTGGTTGACTTGTTTGGTCTTTGTCCCTTTTTGTCCTTTTCCCTTCTCCTTACCCCTCTTCCCTTTTTGGGGAGCTGTTTGGGATTTCTGGAGTTGTGGTGCATAGTATTCTCATTGGATATATCTGTCTCATATGTGAAATATATATATATTTTTGCTATAGCTTTGGCTGCTTAAGTCATTTTTTTTCCTCTTCCCTCTCTGGGAAGCAGGTCCTTGTTGTCGAGTTTTGGGGACTTGGCAGGAAGCCAGCTCGAAACTTGCACACTTTCAAAATCAGTCCACTTCTGCAACTGCCTTGTTTCAGGATATTTGTAAGAGACCTTCTTAAATTCAAAATATGGGTTCTAAAATGCTTTGTTTGGCATTGGATCTCTGCCAAACTCCACAGAAGTAATTTGAATAAAAATTCAATATGGTAGTTTTAGATCTAGATAAGCATTGGTGATGGGGGTAGGGGGAAGAGGGGACAAGGAATAGCTGTGCGCCTGCACAGCTAATAATTGGGTACTGAGACACACTCTAAAGGTGGAAACATCCAAATGTTGCAAGGAAAAGAAGTTTGAAAAAAAATTAAAAGCACCCAAAGGCAAATGTCAAACACCATTAAACATTATTTTAAAACTCTTGTTCTTGCAGGTTACTTATGTTTTAAATATTGTGAGTATTCTAAGCTGCTTTGCACAACTAAAGTTGGGCAAATGAACTAAATAAATTTCAAAGCAGATTCTACTAACGTAGAATTTGAAAAAAAAATTCTAAGTTAGGGCTGTGATTATATTCTTAGAAGGACCAACATCTAGAAATACGTGTTAAGTGTTGGTCTTACTAGGACATGAATGAGAACCCTTGAAACACTGGAAGTTTTTATTACTTTTTTCTGTAATGTGCTTAACCTTTTGTCACCAACATTATTTAACAAAAACTGACACCAGCTCTGTATTCTACTTCTTACACATCTGTGATAGTCAACATCAATATTCAGCATTTATGAATCCTAACTTAGCAATGCCATACTAGCTCCTACCTCTATTTGTGCCCACTTAACATGAGATATTCAGCAAACGCACCTATAATAGCAGATGCATAGTCCTAGCCTTCTTGGGCAGTCAACAGAGAAGGAGAACTCCAAAGAAATAATTTTTTAGTGATGTTTCATGGGCTACTCTAAAAGGAAAGTGGCACATCAATTGGCTTCAAAATGACATGCATCCAAAGTTCTACAACATCATCTCTGGGATCCCACAGACTTGAAGACAACTACAAGCTGCTGTTTACACAGATAAGAGGTAGCTATCTCTTACCCAATATTTCTCAGCTCAGTGTCTAACCATTATAGCTTCCTGTTATAGGAGAGTCGCTCTCTCTCTTCAAAAGACAGGAATAATTTATTTTCACTTGCGCTTTCATCTCTACACACTGGTCAAGGGAGTGAGAATCGCCCTTTCCTAAAATGAAAGCTGACCCTTGCATTGTTCATGATGGTTCAGAGAATGATGAGCAGTGATGAGTGCGGATCTCAGGTCATCTCCTGATGTCCTCACCACTCTCTTAGCTACTCAATCTGCCTATTCATCCTAAACATCTGTGCTGTGACCAGGAGGGCTGGCTGGCACCTGGGTGACACGCATGGGTGTGAGAACAAAAGGGAGCATGGACATCGGCACTTTCTGTGCCTGCACTGCCATTTTTCTATTGTAGGACTGAGAGCACAATACACTACCCAGGTCATAAAATGGGAGTGGTTGTCTATATTCTTGGTACCTTGGTACCAGCATCCCTGCCCTGTATTAAGTCTGCTTCTGGCCATCACAGTGGTATCTGAGTTTAGGACAGGACCTGGGGTTATATTACTCAGTTCTCAGACAAATACTTTTTACCTGGGACTTCAAAACAAACAAACAAACCAACCAAATAAATCCACCAAAAAAAAAAAACCAATGAAAACAAATAAACAAATGAACAAAACCAAGAAAAAACTCCACAGTAGTAACTTACAAGGTTTTGCCTTCAAAAGAAACCCTACATTCAAGCAGCAAATGTTACCCGATACAAATACAGACAGGCACTTTTACGCAATTTAGCTTTGCACAATTAACAAAGGATATTGCTATTAAAGTGCTGCAGGAAGAAAAAGTACTTCCCAAGCATCTAACAGCAACATGTTGTGATCCATGGATATAAATGACCAAATAAAATGGAAGGATGTAAAAATGTCACGGAAACACCAGTCGTAATCTAATGGTGTCAGTGCACTGCACACACACCTTGTAATTACTAACACATTTGGCCTACCAACACTTTTTAGACAGGGGAGCCCACCATTTCTGTACCTTTTTGCCTAAGCTGCTTTTGATCCCTCACAATTGATTTAAACTCTTCCATCTCTTCCTTTGCCCAGTGAATTAATGATGACATGATATCACAGGGCTAGGGGGAAGGCAAATGGGGGTATTTACACACATGTCAAGCAGATCTATTTGCAAACTTTCAGTAAATTAATGCAATAAAAGTCCTAACCTGCTGGAAGCATTTTTAGCTCTTCTCTTTTCCTCCCAGCTTCTTCTGACACACACACTTCTCCTCCTTTTGCTGCATTAAACTGTTTTTCCACTTCCTTTACAACAGTGGGAATACTTCCCTTATGGGTGTCAGGATCTTTCGGGGAGGTCAGAGGTTGCCCTGCAGAGGAAATGACAAGCTGTGAAATGTAAAAGAACAATTCCTTCCACATGTTTCCTTGCTCCAGGAGCAGTAAGGGGTTGTCAGCTAGCATCAGGACGGGATGGACCAGGCCTTTGTCTTAGCAGTCCTGTCAAAACTAATTTACAATTAAAGACCTGTGTAACTGTTTAAAGCTTTACAACTCTGGCGAGTTTCAAGGACTGCTGAAGCCAAGTGGTACAAACCAACTTTATTATTAACAAGCATGCAGACAAACAGAATGAAGACAGACGGAAAAAATGCTGTAAATTGTAAGTAAGCAGAAAAACTGTACACCTGAAGATTATCTTTCTATATGATATTTATTTCTGTTATAAGCTCATAGTTAGGGAACTAAAAATATTTCCGTGGTTCTAACTTTTCCTCTGGTTGTTGCACAGGCTGCAGGAGCCACATGCACTGCTGTTAGAGAGCAAACCTTTTAAGGGGAGGGAAAAATAAAGTGCGGGGGGAAAATGGGCTAATTGTCCATTGGAAAAAAAAAAAAGGAGAAAAAATAATCTTTAAAACCATTCTCAAACAGCTGAGTTTCTGACTTCCCAAAGTATAGTAGAACGGGGCGGGGGGGGAGGGGGGAGGTATGGACACAAGTAGACTTTCCGGAAAGAAAATTTTAGACATAGAAAATCCGCATGTGGGTGTTTAGTCCAAAGACAGCCGAGGCAGTGAGAGTCTTTCTACGTGACAAATCTTCTGCCTTGTAAACACTCTTTTTAGGTCTTGATTGCACATCAGTATATGCTGGTACAGTGCTGACCATAACTTCAGGACTTCAAATTGGCCAATAATCAAGTGGTGTGAGTAAGTCAACTGGAATGAAAAATGCTTTTCTTTGGCTCTGAACACTACAGAGGATAAACCTGTTTCCCACCTGCATGTTTTATGTGATCACAATTTCAGATGGGCACAAGTAGGTGTTTGCATGTCAAGTCAGAACAGCACAGACAGAAGAGCAAGCATTTGGAAGAATGTTCCCAACAAGTGCAGAGTAACACTTCCCAAATCAGCCCAAGTCTGACCCAAAAGTGTTTGAGCTGGAGAACTAATACATAAGTGCTGTCTAGCTACTTTTCTGAAGATGAAAGAGCTGCCACTTCCAAAAAAGTCTGAGTTTAGCTGATGTTTGGCACATGTGAATCCCCTTTTCTATAGACACTAAACTCAAAAGGGATCTTGCTGTGGATTTCACTGTGAGAAAGAGTGTTTTCTTGATGAATTTGTATATTTAGTGTTTTATATGGAGATTCACACTTTTGAAGTTTTCATGCATTTAGAAGCCCGTGTTACTTAGATCTAGGTCTCTGAAGGCAACATTTCTGTTAGTTGCATCAAATTTTCCTACCTAAGCTGCTTCTATTAGAGTTGTTACCACCTTCCCCACAACAACTAATGCATTCCACACAGAAATCCTCATTTATTCATTGACAGAGACTGTTGATCCCTTAATGGGCAACAGATGAACAACAGAAGATTTTCTTAAGAAAAGCAAAGGATGGTGGTAGTGTAAGCAGAAGCTGTCTTCTACCATGAGCCTCTTATGGAATACCACTTCAAAAGAATGGAAAGAAGATATGGTTTGGACTTAGAGACACACTAGATCTGATAATGTACATCTGTGATCTACGAAGGAGGTAGAATGGGAGTTATTAGGTTGCATTCCCATGCATTGCACTCTGGAGGAGAGAGCCTGTGCAGCAAGGAAGAGCCATACAAAGCCCAACAGAGAGCTGTGGTTTAGAAGAATAACATAGCCTGGAGTAAGTTAATGGAAATAATATGAAGGTTCTCTCTTAAACTTCTAAAACCAAGACAAACTTGAAGTGAAGGTTAAAACACCATCTCCTAACCTGCTCTATTTTGCAGCACCACATATGGTATTGATATATAAGATCGCTCACTATTTAGACTACTGCAGTAGAGTGAGTTACAGAGCACTCGTCTTCATTTAGACTGTTCTTGCTTTCTCTGGTTTGTGTCTCAACCTTAATGTCACTTTAACAGAGCTTTCCCCCCCTCTGCTTTTGGTGGTTTAACAGATATAATACTGTATTTATAGGGCATATCAATGTGAGACAGCTTGCCACAGATCATAAACACATTTTTCTGTGGGAAATGTTGAAGTTGTGATTTTCAACACGTGATCTCCAGTTCTCTAAGGTTTGTTACTTTAATTGTAAATAGCCAGAAAGTCATCAAGCTAGCGTTTAATAAACTTTTAATTTGAAATGGATTACCACATGTTGTGTTTGTTTACCCATTATTAAATCTCTTAGCAACATATCACCAGCAGAAACAGCATACTGTAGCACTGCATAGATACATTAAAAAACAAACCCATGGGGGATATTGGCAGCTAATAATATCTTTAAAGAAGGCTCCATGAAAAATAAATACATATAAACAATATCAAAAATTACTCCTAGAAATTTTTTTAGTGCAAATCTGTTTGGCACGGAAATTGCAGATCTTCCATGATCACCGTATCAACAAATTTCAAAGGTCTGCATGCAAAATAAGACATACACTAATGTTCTTTCTCAATTCTTCAAAATATATATTTCTTGACTTTTCAAATTGTGTATCATGAGTTTTTCCATGTATTTCCAGGAAGCGTGACCTATTTATTTGCTTCCTCTATGTGCATTTCCAAATGTGTATGAAGACAGATGGTAGGACCAAACAAGTTTGATTCATTTAGAGTTTGAGCATAATTCTTCACTGTTGGGAAGAGTTGCCTGCAACTCCACCTTTTGGATGTGCTATTCATGGTTTGCTGCACCTTAAAGCACCTTGGCAGATATGTAGAAGATAAATGACAACAAAAAGGACCTTACAGCACAGTGTATGTTTACACCTCCATGCTTCTGGTATCAAGGTGGTTATATAAAAGTCTTTTGATCACAGTGCAATTGCTGCTTAGCCTAAAAGCATCTCAGGGCAAACCTCATTTTCTTTCTCTCCTAAATCATTACTCAATGCCTGAAAAATCCTTCTACTGTCTTCTTTTCATGTTATACTTCCAACCTGAGCCGCTCATCTACCATGCTGAATGATTATTGTTTATCTGTTCTCTTTCTTTCCTTCCAATACACTCTTTTTCTTTTTCCTCCCATGCCATCTACAGTGTATCACTGCTACTGTTCTCAAATGCCTGATGAACCTCTGTCCTGGAGAACTAAGTCTCTGCTTCAGATCTTTACCTCATATTCACAGATACACTACAATCTGTAGGTGGGCTGCATCTTTGTTCATTAAACAAGAGAAAATATAGAAATAACTATTTAGCAAAAATGAATTCTTTTTGCCCATGGCAGTCACATCCCACAGGCTGAAAAAGAAAAGAGCAACAGCAGTCTCCTGCCATTCTTCTCATTACTTGATTTCCAACAGTAGAGGAGCAATTTGTGAGTCCATTGCAATATAGTCAATTATGTCTTCAGCGTAGCTACATCAGAAGGTTCACAGAGGCCAGGAAGGATGCTCAGTCTAAAACTTACATTCAGCTTTTTAAGAAAGCTTCTGGGGAGGTCTGCTGTGCACAAGCAAATGATAATTGTCTTTCCTATGGATTTCCACTTGATTGAATCTAATGGAATTTTATAGGAGTAGCAGAAGGCATGTCTCTGATGCCAGAACTATCTCCCTGCCAAATTTGAAGTCCTTGTTGTAGCCCAGGGAGGTGCTAGAGTTCTTCAAGCGATAGACAAAAAAAAAATGTACCTTTTTTTTTTCTCTTTCTATAAGCTTGGTGCCATAAGCAGCTGAAATGTTACTGCTGTGACATTCCAAGCATTATTCAGCCTTAAGCATAGACCAGCACGGAAAGTTTAATCCTTAGCAATGAGGTTTATTTAAATCGCTTATACCTGAAACAAAGTTAAACCACCTTAATAAAAAGAATCACAGTATTCCTACTACAAGGCATGAAGAAAAAAATCTAGCTTAACAAGACCAATAAGGATTAGCCAACGTTAAAATTAAACTATGGGTTGCTCCAGTGAAAACCCGAATAAAAACATCAAAGTTTGAATCCATCACCTTGTGGTCCAGACTGTACAACCTTCTCTGAGACATCATTCTTTTCAGCAACACTTGAATACATGTGAGGTTCAGGGGGGAGATGAAGATGCGTATCACACTTACTTTGCTTATCTGAATCCTGTGGCAGTTTAGTTATCTATTAAGTGGGGGGAAAAAAATAAATAAAAAGAAAGCAGTTCAGAATTCCACTAAACCAGAACATACTTGTTTGTACACAGTTTGTGAACCCTAGAAGCCCAAGATGTTGCTATGAGAATTTTAGGAAATTCTTGTTTCTCTCTGCTCCATTTATTACCATTTTCTCCTGTATAAGTTTGCCATGTATGTCTTCCCCATGCTTACTGACCAAAGCAGACATCCCAGTAAATGGGGGGTGATGAGGGGGGTGTGAGTCACAATCCAATTTCAGAATCATATGGGAAAATACAGATACCCTGGATTATTAAATCATCCCACCTTATACATTGATTTGAAAGACTAATTTTGCAGCTTTGGAATCTTCACCTCCTCCTTACCCAATAGCTCTATTATTTCTGACATTCTCTTTCCTAGCATGTATTAGATATGTTTGTTGTATAAATTCTTATTGCTTTATGTGTTTCTGAAGCTACTTTTACTTTCTTTTACTCTTGGTAGACCCAAAAATAAGATTGTCTGAAAATCATCACTACAAGAAAATTAAAAACTGAAATTTCTATTAAGTAAGTCCACATTATAATTGAGATGTTTTCAAAATTCATCTCTTTTGGTATTTTTTCTGAGTAAAATTTGGCTATAAAAGAGGTATAAGTTTAAGATCTTGTTAAGATTCTGAATGAAGAAACATATTTCAGCTACAAAAACCCCTTAATTTGCCCATCCAGAAAAAAAGTTTCCACCGGAGAGAAGTTCTTAATTTAGGTCCATTTTCACTAAAGTCATACAAATAACATCATGTCTGAATTATGCCCAAAAACTGTTCAAAAGTAAGGTTCCTAACACAACAGAACCATGCTCACTAGCTGGAGGTCC